GCCCCTGTCGGTCAACCAATCACGCACCGCGGTATCGCGTGTCATCTTACCTGCGGTATGTGTCTGTACCGCTTACTTTGAATGGCTGCATCTGTAGAAATTCACTATCCCATTCTATTAACATTTTATAAATTACTGTACTTATTCCTTACATGTTATGATAGAGAACTTAATTGCTTTAAGTAAATTGTCATTGCTCATAACATATACTAAGAATCATTAAAAACACAACAAAGGAGTGCTGGAGCCAATTGTATTTGATGCATTTTTCATGCCTCTCAGCATTTCTGCACGTTTGCTCAGCAGTGTAATATTCATTTATTCTAAAAAATATATATAAATGTTCCCACCAACATACGAGCACTAGAGCTCTGTGACATTAATTAATGTCAAGAACTGTAAGTATAAAAAGCAGATTAATTAAAATGAGTAAGGAAAAGATCAAATATTTTTTCTTTTTTTTGTGTTCATCATGGACACCTAAACTTATTTGATTAAATTCTTCATTTCTTTTTCTGCAGATGTTTCTATGAGCTCCCAATGCGCAACTCTACAAGAACATCATACTCTTCTTCAAAAATGTGCACATTCACTTCTCTTGCCCAGATAGAAAATGCCCAGTTCCAGCTGTTTGGATTCTAGAAGTATGAAAATGCTAGTGTCCAGAAAGGACACAATGTGTGGAAATCAAGGGTTACTCTAAAGGAAATCAGACAGACCAAGAACACTTTTCAAACATACATAACATGACATAACATATAACATAACATAATATTTTAACTCCATAGCACTTAATTAATCATGGTTAAGAAATGCAAAGGAATTTTTTATACAGAAGTCTAAAAAAGAAACTTAAAAATTAAAGCTAAAAAACAGAATAGCTATTTTAGCTATTTTGGCTTGCATAAATAATAGCTCTAGAATCCTTACAGTGCATTCCAAATGCAGAATATGAATGTGCCATCTGAGTGTCTGAGGAACTACTTAAAAAACATTACAAATAAAAGTTTATCCACAGAACTAGGAGGGTGTTTCCTGGCCTGATATTCAGTCTTTATCTACCTCCAACAGACTGCTCAACATTGACATTCTTGTCAAGAATATTTACAATTAATCCTTAACTAAATATGTCCTTTATCATGTACTGAGAAACTTTTCAACAATTATTATCTGACATTTTTTTAACTTCCTGTACTAGTTGTATTACTGTTTATATCCTGTGGGTGTATTTTCTATTTTTCCTGGTCTAGTTTTTGCGATCTTAAAAAACAAAACAAGTCTTCCCTCTGGACAAGATTTCTCAAAGATGACTGACAGGAAGTGCAAATTAGCATAGTATTGATTAAAATTATTCCCTGCTTTGGTTAACCAGGAGCTGAGCAAATCCACAAGGAGGAAGAGCACTTTCATTTATTTAATTTATTTGGTTGTTGGTATATACAAAGTGACTTACATTTGTACCAATTACACAGCTGGGCTTTTTCCTAAAGTGATCTTATTAAAGCAAGGTACTTAATGAGGGTATAATAGCAGTGACCTACCCAGGATTTGTATCTAAAATCTTTCAGTTAGGAATCCAAAGACTGACTATCATTAGTTATAATGGAATAATATAAAGTAAGCTAATATTAAAATAAAGAAGAAATAATTTTAACACAAATAACACAGTATTATACTCAATGCAGAAATATGGGACAACCAAGAATACAATGCAATACAATGCACAAATACAAAAATGTACAACTTCACCAAATTAATGAAACCTTGATGTATCATGGCATCCCTCTACCATCTTTGATGAAGACAGTGTCTAATGTCAGCACACAAAGATATCTCTGCCCACAATTCTGAACAATTTCTTTAGAGTAACCCTGTAATTGTAAGGATACAGTCCCTTCCTGGAAACAGGATTTTGTGGAGAATCATTTCAGCCATTATGCACCCCACAGACCACAAATCCACTACCGGATGTAATGTTAGCATTTTTGGCAAGAAAAAAAACCTACTTATCAAACTGCAGGCCAAAGCAATAATAATAATAAGAAGAAAACCATTAATTAAGTACATACTGTAGCTAAGTGACCTCTTACCGTTTTCCTTGTATTTCATTCCAAGGATGACCTCTGGAGCTCGGTAGTATCTAGTAACTACATATGGAGTCATCATAAAGTTAGTGCAGGCTGTTCTTGCAAGACCAAAGTCAAGAATTTTCAAAGTGCAGTCCGACTTCACTACTATGTTACTAGGCTTCAGGTCCTAGAAATGAAACAGTAGCAGGATTTATGTAAGCACGCTATGTAAAAGTCTATGTCTTAAGACTTTTTAACTATTTTGTGTTTTTGTGGGGAGGATGAAAAACATGTCTAAAGAATTAAATTAAATGTAAAAAGGTACTATGACCTACTCTATGTATGATACCAGCAGAATGAAGGTGTCGGATGCCACACAGGATCTGATAAAGAAGATAGGACATCCTCTCGTGGTCCAAATCCATATGAATAACCTGGCACAAACTGGCATCCATCAGTTCCATTACTAAGTACCTGGAGAATGAAAGATACATACAGTACTTCATCCTGTCTGTCTTCAGAGCTGGTAACCTTTGTTAAAAAAAACACCTTCTGAACAGAACAATATGAGAAAATAAATGGAAATCCTCTTGTGCTACAATATTAAAATGCATGTACTTCAGAAGCTTTCATTAGTTAAGACTTCACAGTTCAACTTACAATATTACAATTATTCAAAGGTTAATCTATACATGTTACTTCGTAGCAAAATGTGAGACAATAAAACTAAAAGGAAAAGAGGCTCAGCATTAAATCTGTTACTACATATTAAAGGATGAGAAATTCAACAACAGCCAATGTATTACTTAATTCATGCAACACAATAAAAATTAGAGAAGATGCAACTTTGTCTTAAATAATACTGTCAGTCATAAAAATTAACCTAAAATTCAGGTCAGGGCTCTTTATAGTAACTCTAATTGAAATAATCTGTGGCACCAACAAAGCAGGACTTTAGGGTCTAAAAAAGCTTTTTCAACTCACTGAGCTCTTCTCTATGGAATCTTTTTGGCAATTAGTATCCTGGTTTCGGCTATGCATCAGTTTCAACATCAAAGACTTCCAAAGCAAAGGATCACAATGAACAATGAGTTCAAAACAAAAGCGATGGCTATAAATCAAGAGCATACTCACAAATCCTGAAATTCTTCAAGTGATTTCTGGGGTGTGAAAACATTTAGCAAACTAATAATCTGGGAGAGAAAAGAAAACCAGAATTAAACAAACTACAGAAAATTAATAAGACAAATTCCCTAGAAAAATATTTAAAAATTCAGTGCAATAGCACATTCTGAATTCATCATTGCTTACACTTATATACAGTAGCACTTTTCTTGACACTCCACTTAAAGCGCTTTACAGGTAATGGGGTCTCCCCTCCACCACCAATGTGCAGCACCACCTGGATGATGCGATGGCAGCCAAAGTGCGCCAGAATGCTCATCACACATCAGCTATCAGTGGGGAGGAGAACAGAGTAATGACGCTAATTCATAGATGGGGATTATTAGGAAGCCATGATTGGTAAGGGCCAATGGGAAATTTGGCCAGGACACCAGGGTTACACCCCTACTCTTTCAGAGAAGCGCCCTGGGATTTTTAATAACCACAGAGAGTCAGGACCTCGGTTTTACGTCTCACCCGAAGGACGGCGCGTTTTACAGTATAGTGTCCCCGTAACTTTACTGGGGCATTAGGACTCACTAACACCTCTTCCAGCAGCAACCTTAGTTTTTCCCAGGAGGTCTCTCATCCAGGTACTGACCAGGCTCACACCTCCTTAGCTTCAGTGGGCTGCCAGTGGTGAGTTGCAGGATTAAATGACTGCTGGCTGCAATTCTTGCAGCATAAAATTCTAAAAGAATAACTTTTGCAAGCAGGACAGTTCCTTTTGTTTGTAGATAAATTCATTACTCTTTTTTTTTATTAAGCCCTAAAGAATGCATCATTCTCCACCCCTCCTTACGCTTAAGCAGAGATGTTTTTAGTCTACAGATAGCTGCACTTCAAGCATACTTCAATAAGGAATGCAATGAAATAAGTTCTAAAAACAGGACAAGAATAGAAGCATACCGATTTGAAGAAAGCCAAGAGAACCATGCAATCTACAGTACTTACATTTTTGTGATTGACACATTTCAATAAGACTAGCTCTCTGTAGGCCCTCTTGGCATGTGTCTGGTTCTGAAAAGGGCGGCTCAGCTTCTTCACAGCAACATGTATACCCAGCACCGTGTCATGCGCAGAACTGCATGAGGTAAGTGAGTAAAATGGCAGTTTCAAATCAAAATTCATGGAAAATGCACAGGGGCAAAGAGCCAGGGCCACACCTACCGCCAGCATCTTCTGAAAAGTTTCATTCCCCCTACCCATTACAATGTGGAAAAGGAATTTGTGGCCCTTTTATGTTTGAATTGTGCAATGAGATTCCCAGATCAACTCCATCCTGGTTAACCTCGATATGTTCTATGAGACCATGTTCTTTCATAACAGTGAAAAAGAGAAATGCTATCAAAAAGTCTTGTGTACATGGTTTAATCAGAGTGGAGCAAAACACATGTTGGGATACTTCACAACCAATTATCCATCAATTTTCTAACCGGTTCTTCCAATTCAATGTCGTGTGGGAGCCGCATGCAATGGGTGCAGGGCAAGGTACACCCTGGACCGGACGCCAGTCAATCACGGGGCAGACACTGACAATCTCACACTCACACCAGGGCCAAATTTTACAAAAGCCATGTAAACTACTAGTATGTCTTTGGACTGTGGGAGGAAACCAGACCACCTGGAGGAAACCCACGCAAACACAGGGAAAACATACGAACTTGATGCAGATAGCACCCCAGGTCTGGAATTGAACCCATGGCCCCCCGTGTTCCACAGTTTCTTTTCCCTTTGAAAATTAATTCACTTTTTGGCTACATGATTCACAGAAGCACTTACCAGACTATGCCCTGAGCCCCGGAGCCAATCGCCCTCAACTGCTGATAGCGCTTCAGCACTGTGAACGTCGAATCTCCAACCTGCACACTGTAGAACTGACTGTCCCCGTCACTCATGATGTAGTGTTTGATCTGAAGGCCCTCAGCTTCAATAAAACCTGTATTTAAAAAAGAAAAAGTAAATGCAAATCACGGCACGTTTCAGCAGACATGCCTCCTTGACTAAAAGGACTCTGAACTAAATTTATAAACTAAGATAATATTTCATAACAGTGTTCCATTTCATCATGAAGCCTGGGTTTTCATTAAGAAAAAAAAAACATTTCAGGGTGTCATGACAAGGAATTCTGAAACACTGCTTGGCACTTAAACTTTAAAGAAACATTTTCTACATTATCATGTGTCTGTTCATTCATTTTTTATTTGCAGTACAAACTGCAGTCATTGTTTCTGCCTAATTCCCTGCCTCAATATTATAATAATCAGTAAATACAGTATTATGATATTTCACAAATATTTCTCAATGTCTCAGTAAAACACCACCTCTTCTAAAAAGATAACAACAGAGCTCATGCACAGGATAAGCAGGCTGGAGTGCAATTAATTTAATTTTTGAATTATTTGACATTTACATACTACTTCTTTACTTTCTTTAGTAAATAATTTGACATTCCTTTTAAATTAATAACTGGTTGTATGGAAAAATTATTCATATTCACAACTGGAACTAATGTGGAAGTAAACTGAAATCAAGAGACACATCTTTACACACAGGATTGTGGCACTATGGAATGGACTATGGAATGTGAAACCCAAAATTATTAAATTAAATTGGATCAATTAACTACTACCAAAAGGGCTAGATGGGCAAAATGACTGTCTGTCATTTGTAAGCTTTCTAATATTCTTAGAATTCATACAGTGCACTAAACATCACAAAAGTATATATTTTATGCCAAGTGTGCTCTCTACTGCATTATTGTTTGACTGAAAGTTGTCAAACAGTAGAATAAAAATGTATAATAAAGTACACAATCCTCTTTCAAACAAATAATTTTCAGCTGTCAAGATTTTTCTGAGTGTAATTTCCCAACCATTTCCCATTCTCACTTTCATGATTTCTCAAAATTACCAGACTCCTTCTGGTGTACAATTATCATTAGCAATCCTATCTGCTTCCTTATAAAGTGGGAGGTTTAGATACCATCATATTTTTAGAAAATAAGTCTTTGCAGTAGGTCCCACTATCTATTAAAGAGAAGGGGGAATCTCACTGTCAAAGATTCCACATGTACATAATTTTCCAGAAGAAACAAAAAGAAATGTTTAAAATAAAGAAAGTGAATTCATTCTTTAATAAATTTGTAGCATAACAGTCAGAGGTTAGCTTTCTAATCTGCACAAATCAGTGACTTGTGGTAGTCTAAATAGTCAAATGATATAAAGAGATCTGTGAATTTTGAAATACAAGTAACAACTACAGTACTTTAAACAGCTCTTCATTGAAGTCACCAGATGGCACTGTGTCTGAAGCCAGAAACCTCACAAGTCTTAAGTTACGTTTCTATTTGAAGAGTATAGCTAATTTTATTCTACGTTTTCTTGCACATAACATATTTAAACCTATCTATACTGTATAATTTATATCGCCAATTACATATTCATTGAAAATGCACATTTTTGAAAATGCACATGTTAATATAAATTAGTCCTAGTGTAATTGTAAGAGATTGACAATTACAAATTTGACAAGTTTTCTTGATAGTCCCTCTATTAGGATTCTGCTTTTCTAGCAGCAGAAAAAGATATACATTACCACTACAGACAGTTTCAGCTACAATTTAAATATCCAGGCATGTTTTTTGTTTTTATGAGTTTCAGTTCCTTAGTCAAAATGTGCAAATGAAACAGTTCAATCAAAAGGTTGAACATTCATTCCGAAAAGCAAAGCCCACATCAATGAAAACAATCTGTGAATTGTGTGTAAAGTGAGATCAAATCAATGAGTACTTCAAAGGTGTGAAAAGAGCTTTATAAAGAACAATATGGAGTCAAAATCTAAAAGCAGTCCTGCTGTTTATAAAACAAGCAAGCCTCTCCAAAAGCCACGTTAGCAACACCTAAAAGCTTTCTTCCGAATGTACATTGTACCAGGCCCATATTCTGCAGCCAACAACAAACCTGTTTTTGAATCTGTTAATCTCATGCAACTTTTTGCTTTTGTGTTGTATTTCTTATGTGCAGTACTTGAAGGTTTATAAATTATAATTATTGAAAGTATATAGTAAAAATATTTGTACTGTCCAGCAGTACCACTTGTTGATGAAAAACTCAACAAGATCATTAAATAAGAGACTAAAAATGCAAAGAGTCACAGTAATTAACTATTTTAGTGCAAAAAGTATACTACTCTTTAATATAGTATAGTCTAGTACTGAAGTCAACACATCTGTATGTTGTTTGCTAGAAACATTTAGACATCCCAGAGTCCAATAGGCAATAAAACAGGGTAGAACTGTAGGGAGTCATCTTATACATACAGGAAGTTCTTGTTTCTCCACCCACAAGACTAATTTCTCTCAGATGGGCTGGTGTGAGCTGTAGCCTTCTCTGTCTGGTCTCTTGCTTACTGATCTCAAATGTTGCTAATGTCAAGCATCAATTCCCAGTGACTAGTGGTAAAGAATTCACCCACTGTACAATAATGCCTTCATGTGATCTGCTGTCCAATCACACTTTTCTTCTGTTCTTGTTTAGAAAGCATTGCTACCAGATGCATTTTCTCATCAGCACAAACACAATGAGTACAATTCAGGTGTCATTAATATAATCCTTTCCCCTCCAATGAAATCATATCTGTGCACATCATTCTACAGCTGACCTACATGATGGACAGTTATGTTCACAAATATTCAAGGAATAAAAATATTTGCAACACTACATATAGAAGTACGACTTTTGTTGGAAAAAAAACAAGATGTATGTGCAATTTCGTGACTGAAGATACTAAAAGATATTTTGTTTGCACTTTATATCATATAACTTGATTGAAGAAGTATATGTGAATGGTTCAGGGAAATTAATGTACAAATTATGTACAAAAACAGTGGGTATAGAAAGTCACCACCCCCTTTCAAAATGTGTACCCTTTGTTGTATTACACAGAAAATAAAAACAAATTAAATTAGGCTTGTTCCATTTTTATTTACACACAGTAACTCACATTAGCCAAGTGAAAATAAAACTATATAACATTATGAAAATTAATATTACAGCAGTAAAACACCTTATTTGGATAAGTGAATACCCCCCTTACAATTGTGTTTGTAAACTTGCTTAGGTACTATATAACCAATCACCTTATAGATCACACAACAAACTGATTGACTCCCATCTGTGATCAACTGTGGTGATTTTGATTAGCTCAGAATAATAGCAGCTGTTTCTAGTGGATTCCACTGCTTGGAAGTGCATTTCAAAGGAAACAATACACTTTGGGAGGAAACTTGCTTTCAAAAGTACTTCAAGACAAAGTTGTGGAAAGGCACAAGTCAGGAGATGGGTATAAAAAGATTTCAAAGGCTTTAAGTATTCCATGGAATACAGTCAAGACCATTATTAAGAAGTGGAAGGCGTATGGCACCACCCAGACCTTGCCTAGATCAGGCTGTCCCTCCAAACTGGATGACCAAGCAAGAACGAGACTGATCAGAGAGGCTACCAAGAAGCAACTTTAAACGAGCTACAGGGCTTTATGGCAAAGACTGGTCATCGTGTGCATGTGATAACAACATCACAAGCGCTCCACAAATCTGGCCTTGTATGGGAGGGTGGAAGGAAAAAAGCCACTCCATAAAAAAAGCCACATCAAGTCTCGTTTATGTTTTGCTTAAAAGCACCTCAAAGATTCTGTGGCCACGTGGCAAAAGGTGTTGTGGTCAAAATCAAACATTTTGACCGGAATGCCAAACGGTATGTCTGCCGAAAACCCAATACATCTTACCATTGAAAGAACACCATTCCTAGAGTAAAGCACGGTGATGGCAGCATCCTGCTGTGGGTGTGTTTCTCTTCAGCTGGGACTGGGGCACTTGTCAGGATAGAAGGCAAATTCTTCAAGAAAACCTGCAGCTGTCAGCCAGGAAATTGAAAATGGGAAGATGGTTCACCTTTCAACATGACAATGAGCCAAAGCATACTGCCAACTGTACAGTGGCTGAAAAACAGGAAGGTGAATTACCTTGAATGGCCTAGTCAGAGCCCCAACCTAAATCCCATCGAAAATCTTTGGAATGACTTGAAGAAGGCAGTCCATCAACGGTCAGCATGCAGTTTGACCGAGCTCGAACAATCCTGTAAAGAGGAATGGGCAAATATTCCTCCCTCTAGGTGTGCAAAGTTGGTAGAGATGTATCCAAACAGAGTCAAGGCTGTAATTCAAGCAAAAATCTTCCACCAAGTATTAACTCAGAGGGAATGTTCTCTTATCCAACCATTATTCTACTTTTTTTCCAGAAATTTTTCTTTCTTTTTTCACTTGGATTTTGCAAGGTACCATTTGTAAACAAAGCTGGAAAAAGTCTGATTTTATCGGTCTGCTTTTTGGGATTTAGGGCAATAAAAGGTGAACATTTCGAAAGGGGGTGTCGACTTTCTATACCCACTGTTGGGATTAGCCATAATTAGTGTTATGTATCTTAAGGCACAGTATACAGCATATGATCTAACTAATCACTTTCAGAGAACTGTGCTACACAGGATTATAACCCATGTAAATTCACTGACCGTATTTAAGTTTGAAGGTTTTTTCTAGAACAGATATTGAAAACAAAAATATAATGATCCGAAGGAGACAACCAAAGAAAAACCACCAGACCACAGGATATCATAAAAGTGAAAAATAAAGAGGAAGTTAACCTTATGATCACTGATTGATCTTATTTTGCTAAGACTTTTAAAAAAGTTTTGACGATTTGATTTTCACAACCCTAACGGTGAAAGGATAGAGGTGCAAATCTGAAGAAGGCTCCATGGCCAAAACACTGTGTTTTCTTTCTTCTCTTTTCAGCATGGAATAAACCCATTACCTGTTCCTTTGGAGCCTATGCATGCTGACGCAGCTACCCACCTCAAATATTTTCAAATCCAACTTTGACAT